AACAAAAGATAAACGAACTTCGCTTCCAATTAGTTCCACATCCACCGTACTCACCTGATTTGGCCCCCAGTGACTTCCACCTTTTTCCAAACCTAAAAAAATTCTTGGCTGGAAAGAGATTCCACTCAAATGACGAAGTCATCTCTGAAGTGAACGAGTATTTTGCATACCTTGACAAATCGACCTATTGTGATGGCATAAAAAAGCTAGAACATCGCTGGAATAAGCGCATTGCTAACAGAGGAGATTACATTGAAAAATAAAAAAAGTTTTAACATTATTTTGTTTGTTTTTCTATGTGAGGCCGCGAACTTTCCGAACAGCCCTCGTAAAAAAGAACGCATGAAATACAAATTAAAACAGAAACTGAAATGCGCATGCGTACTTCATCAGACTTGCGTCTTCTGAAAATCTATAAATAACTTGCAAATAACATAAAAAATAACTTGCTTTGGCGGCTTTATTATTTTTTTTTATGTTATTTGCAAGTTATTTATAGATTTTCAGAAGACGCAAGTCCCATAATGGGCTTGCTAAAATAGCTTGTTTGGTGGTTAAAGGACAGAGAGAGTTAAAATTAAAATACCTTCAGAATTCAATAAATTTGCTTCCTCTGTATATTCTAAGTTTATCAAAAATGCAGAAATTAAAAGTTACCATTGGTGATCTTTTCGTCAACATCGTCGGGTTTTATAATTTCTCCAGCCAAAGGCCTTGTGCTGTACTTATTTTCGCCACACTTCGCTCGTTCGTCATTCAAGTTTGATTTAGTTCTCAAAAAAGAGGCAGAAATAGCACCGATTCGAGGAAGAGATTGTTTGCCAAACACCAAAGACGATTTACTGATGGCACTCGCCATATAAAAACACCCTGAAAATTTTTATATATAACTTAAAAAACATTTTAAAATTATTGTAACTTCTTTTTACTAAACAAATCTTAGCAAAACTGATATAATTGTGATATTCATTTTGTTAAACTTTTAAAACTAGAAACAGTGATGCATTGCAGTAAGTAATGTTTCCAAACTGTTTGCATGTGTCTCAGAATTAACTAATCCATTTAAAATACGTAATTTTGCAGAATCAAGAATTGATAACTGCATCAAGTGATGATCGATTCCAAAAATTTAATGCTAAAGTCAAGACAGTTATTATTAAACTTGTCGTCTTTGTTACTGCTGACATTTTTCTCTAGTTGTCAAATACCCAATTAATTTAATTCTTTTCCTTACATTATGCATATTTTTCTGTTTTTTCATGATCTACAGTCAGAGCCAAAATGCCTATGCCAGAGTCTAAGTACATGGAACACAGATATCCCCTATTTCCTGTATTTGCTAGAAGCCCCTGTGCTAATGCATGGTTTGCTCAAGTCCAACCTATAACTTATTAAAATTTGATCCCTTTTAAACTGACACCATTATAAACAATTGTATTGGAGACAACTGCACTCGAACATATTCTCTACTCATCACTTACTTCTTTGAATGCAATCTTCTACAGTGGTACCTCGGTATACATCTGCTTTAGAATACATCCAATTCGGAATACGTCCTGTTTGGACAAAACAAATTTTGTTTGGTATATGACTTTTGTTCAGTATATGACTTAATTCAATTATACATGCCATCTATGAACAAGTAGCACTATTGGTGTACTAGACCAGACTAGATGTTCACGGTGCCACAGTTTATAACTTTGTTAAATTTCTTCTGATTTTAATTGTAAGTAAAAGTTTATTATTAATCATAAATTGCAAGAAGGCAAATGAAAAGCAACAGAAAACAAAAAATGACTAGAATCACAACTGAAAAAAGAGATTGTTGAGAAATACGAAGGTGGCACACGTGTTCGAGATTTTAACTGTTGCATACCGTATTCCGAGAAAGACGATATTGACAATCATGAAAAATAAAGAAATTATTAAATCTGCTAATGCTGCAAAAGGGGTTAAATCAATTTCTAAACAGAGATCCAAGACATTAGATCATGTTGAGAAATTGCTTTTGCTTTGGATAACTGAAAAACAGTGTGCTGGAGACAGTGTATCAGAAGCAATTATTTGCGAGAAAGCTAAAAAGATACATGCTGATCTCATGAAAAATCAAGAAGGAACTAGCCAGGAAAGCAAGGTGTTTAAAGCCAGCCATATTTTTTTTTTACATGAAAACAGATTAATCATTTTTACATTACTTCTTATGGGAAAGGTTGGTTCAGTATACATCCTATTCAGTAAAGTCCAAACATCAGGAATGGATTAAGGTCGTATACCAAGGTTCCACTGTACATTCAACCCCCCTATAACACGGGTTCCTATAGTTTGGATTCCTATATCACGGCAAAAAAATTGCAACAGTATTCGTATAAACATGCTAAAAAAAACTCGTATAATTCGGTAAAACGTCATCGCCGACTGATGTCGCGACAGGATTGGTCGAATCTAGACCAATAGCAAATATTGTACAAACCGTAAAGTTTAAACGAGCAGTGGACCTATTAAAAACCATTTATTATTTAACGTCCATAAAAATTATATTTATATTAATGATGTCTCCAAAGTTCAGCAAATTTTTNGCGAATTTTTTGCAAAAAAAATAATTTATCAGGAAGCACAAGAATGCCATTCGATGACAAGCTCCACAACAAAAACAAGCTTAAGCAATGGCGTAGTCGAACAGTGCACGCTCGGTAAGTAATCCTACAATTTTTTTGTTTATAGCATAGTTTATATGGATTATTCCCAAAAAATTATACATATTTTGGAAATGTTCAGTCAAAATTAGTGTAGAAACGATTAATTTTATGGAAGAAACCTTTCAAACAGCTGTAGTCCGTAAACTGCATACGTGCTGGGCTGTGATTGGCTGGACTTGTAGAAAATGGATTCATAAAAACCGGAACGTATCTACCGTGTTATAGGAGGGTCAACTGTAGTTCTTTTTACAAATTTATCTTAAATTCACACCAATTCGAAGCTGACTAGAAACACATTTAACTACATTTTGTCTTCTTTTAATAATTAATTATGGAGTACAATTATCTTTAAAAGCTAAAATTTTTGGGTAAAAATCACATAGACTTTGAAGGCCAGAATTCTTGGATAAAGTTAATGCTGGAAAAGTACGAAAGGTGTGTTTGTGTGATTTAATTATGATTTTATAACTTACTAACATAATTAATCTGGTCACAACAGTTTTAACCTTTCCATAATTCTTATTTTTGTATTGTTAACTATTATAAAGACAAATTGTCCATTCACTATTCTTACTTAAATAGATAATATCTGCGAGGTTATGTGGATTGCAATACGGAGGAAGTTATGTAAGTCGGGTAATATAATCATCTGACTTGCATAACTCAATGAAAATGAAAAAGAAATAACACTACATTAGATGCAAGTCATAAGGCTTTGAGAGGTAAAACCAAGGGAAGAGAGTCAAGAAGTCCTTATACACTCACATAACTGCCAAACATAGAAGGCTACGGTTACAAATGTGTTGTATAATTATTGTTAA